CTAAATTGAACAAAGGCCCCGGGTTCGAATCTCGGAGTTTCAACACTTAAGATTGAGTATAACTGTTTGATGACGGCTCACAAGCCAAAAAGGGCCATACCGATCTCCTTTGGTTTGTCGAACCCACTTTAGTCTTAAAAGCGTATAAAACATGCATATCTCCTTATAAGGAAAAACATATACACTCCAGAAACCCACTTGGTCAATTCAATTGCAGATCCGGCAAACAGTTACGGAGAAAATGGAAAAAAACGCTTTCTTGAAACCAGCATATTTTGTTTTCGTTAGCAGAAAAAGAATAGTTGTACTTTCTGTGAAATAAACAGATATAAAGGTGTATTTTTCCCACTTTCTCTGTAATAATTTCGCGTTTAAAAGAGGAAGAGAGTACCGTTTTTCCAATGAGCCCTTTTCTAGACAGTAGCGGAATTTAATAGTTTCAGTTCCTCACACCAGAAATTCTTTCTAAACCGTGGTTTGACGCAAAAACGCGGAAATGTTTGCTCCATTAATTAATAAAGATCCAGCGGCTGGTTTAACGTAACATGAACTCCAAAATACCGGCAAGACTGATTCACTGACTGTGGGACAAAATATAAAGTCCCCTTTTAAGAGGATTCAATGGGTCAACCTGTATAACGGACCTTTTCTGGAGCAAGCATTCGATTGTTCTTATAGATGAAATGTATTGTACAAGGAGAGCGTTATGATCGTTTTCCATGTCAGAACGCCTCAATTGGCATTTGCTTTTTGTACATGCAACATGTCTTAGGATGCGGTTTTTATCCAAAATGATAATGCAGTACATCTTTGTGAGATTGGGAAAAGACGAATTGAGAGCTATTAGCAGCACTAGGGTCGATATTTGCCGATTTTACGGCAGAAAGCTTTTGTTTTGCTCGATAAGGTCTTATGGAACTCCCCTAAGACAGTATCTAAAGACTTTCAACGCAGATAGAAACCATCTGATAAGGCAAGCCGGTCATATTTGCACAGCCCTACCTAAGAAGGTTTCCGCCGTTACCAGCGGAAGTTTTATTAACTGCATGCAGTTTACTGCGCCATGCAGCAGCCTGGCAATTGCATTCTATATATATTGCAACTTCGTCTGTACGTGATTCTGCCTCTGGAGATACCTCCAGGCTGAAATCCGAAACAGTAGGCGACTACGTTTTTGTACAAGGCGAAGTTCACTAGATTAGCAGAATTTAATGAAGTCATAAATTTCGTGACCTCTCACTTAGCTGCAGACGGTCGTTGCCTATTAATAAGATAACTAACTGTCCAATTATGTGTCAGCCTCGAAGAGTGAAACTTGATGGGTAAAGGGTGAAGAAGCAATTAGTCACAGATGTGGGCGCATGGTGAGGGGCAGAGGA